CGAGTGGGGGGCCCAGCGATGAAAAAATGGAACTGGACCGGGGTGAAATCCAGCAGGTTCTGACAGGTTCTGGAGAACCGGTAGCGAACTTTTTGAGTAGTTCATACAACTAGCAAATGCCACCTCTGGCTGGCCCCAGGAGTGGGGAGGGAATGGGGATTTTGCAGTGTCCTTCCCCTGGAGTGGGGAGGGAATGGGGATTTTGCAGTATCCTTCCCCTGCCACGCCCACCAAGCCACACCATGCCCACCAAACCATGCCCACAGAACTGGTAGTAAAAAAATTTGGATTTCACCACTGAACTGGACCCACATCTGGAAATGCCTGGGGTGAAACGTTGCACTGGGAAACGTCTTCTGATTCTAGCCGAATATGCCGCCTGGGGAAATCTGGGAGTTGAAGTCCATCCATTTTAAAGGGGCCAAGGTTGAGAAATGCTTCTTTTAAATAACCCCAGGTCTCTCACCTAATGTGTTTGTTCACGTATGTAGTAGTTTTCATAGCTTCCTTCTGTTGAATGGCGGCGTCGCATCATGTCAGCATTTATTCATTTATTACATTTCTATGCCACCCATCTCCCTTACAAGGTGACTGGAGGCTTGAAAGCATGAAAGAAAGCACTCGGTGAATTTTTAAAGCGAATTTAAGAAATAAACTTTGCTCCACCGAACTTAAGATCTGCAGAACAACTTGCACAGAATAGCACTTAGCAGTAGCAGTGGCACTTAGACTTATATACTGCTTCACAGTGCTTTTACAGCCCTCTCTAAGCGGTTTACAGAGACAGCCTGTTGCCCCCAACAATCTGGGTCCTCATTTTACTGACTTCGGAAGGCTGAGTCGACCTGGAGCCGGTCAGGATCGAACTGCAGGCAGTTGGCAGTGAGTGGGTAGGATAGGATAGAATAGCAATAGCCCTTAGACTTATATACCGCTTCACAGTGCTTTTACAGCCCTCTCTAAGCGGTTTACAGAGACAGCCTGTTGCCCCCAACAATCTGGGTGCTCATTTTACTGACTTCAGAAGGCTGAGTCGACCTGGAGCCAGTCAGGATCGAACTGCAGGCAGTTGGCAGTGAGTGGGTAGGATAGGATAGAATAGCAATAGCCCTTAGACTTATATACCTCTTCACAGTGCTTTTACAGCCCTCTCTAAGCGGTTTACAGAGACAGCCTGTTGCCCCCAACAATCTGGGTGCTCATTTTACTGACCTCAGAAGGATGGAAGACTGAGTCGACCTGGAGCTGGTCAGGATCGAACTCCTGGCAGCGGGCAGAACCAGCCTGCAATACCGAATTCTAACCACTACGCCACCACAGCTCAGAATCCCAGTCTTAGCATCCCTGAGGGATGATCATCTGACCTCTGCTTAAAGGCTTCCCATGAAGGAAAGTTCAGGCCCTCCCAAGCATTTCAGTGACTCTTAGGAATTTTTCTGCTGTTATCCAAACAAAATCTGCTTCCTTGTCATTTCAGCTAATAGTTTCCTGATTTCTGGAAGAGCTTCAAACAATTCTCTCTGTTCAATCCTTGAAGACGGTTGACACGTCTTCCTGCCTCATGCTCTTCTCCTGACATTCTTTTGCAGAGATCTTGTGTTACATTAATCACATTTCAAAGTAACAGGTCACAAATGTTGACTTTCTTTAGAACTCTATCCCACTGATTTATAAAAACTGGAAATTCCAGCTCTTTGTGAAGTTTCATGCTATTCAATAAATGCACGGCCCATACACATGGGTATGCGTCCAAGTAACAACACGATGGAAATTTTAAAATCAAGTAATTTAGCTTGAGATCAAATTCTTTCTTTAAAAACAAATACTTTGATGCACAGTCTTCCTTCATTTTTCAGTTTGTTTCAAATGTCATATTTAATTTTGACGAAGAGGTCCAATAATCATAATATATAATACTAATATCCAAAACTGTAATATAGATAGAACATCCATTTTTCCCCTCTGATACTCAGCCTTCTGAGACTGAGGTCTCCAACCTTGGGATCTCCAACCTTGGCAACTTTAAGTTCAGCTCCCAGAATTCCCCAGCTGGCTGGGGAATTCTGGAGATGAAGTCAGGGGTGGAATGCTCCTGGTTTGGACCGGATTGCCCGATCCGGTAGTGATGGAGGCGGGTGGTTCGGAGACCGGTAGCAAAAATCCCTGCCCCCCCCACATGCCCAGCTGAGCCACGCGATCATCAGAGGCTTTTTTTTTTACTTTTAAAAGCATTTTTTTACAACTTCTTCGGCCAAAGAGGTTGTAGAAAAAATGCTTTTAAAAGTAAAAAAAAAAGCCTCTGATGATCGCGCGGCTCAGCTGGGCATGTGGGGTGGGGGGCAGGGATTTTTGCTGTCGGTTCTCCGAACCACCCGCTGCCATCGCTACTGGATCGGGTTTTAAAAGTTTTTTTTAAAAAAAAGTTGGCCACGCCCACTCAGTCACATTACCACCCCCCCATCAAGCCACGCCCACAGAACCGGTAGTAACAAATTTTACATTTCACCACTGGTTGAAGTCCTTCCAGGCTTAAAGTTGCCAAGGTTGGAGACGCCTGCTCTAAGGCACCTAAATAATAGAATATTAAGCATATATGTATATTATATCACTATCATATTGAAATAGCATATTTTTAAGAGAACAGGCAAAATAAAAGCTAATATATAAAAGCATATATGAAATATGAAAGATAATACAGAAACAGAAATCTTCCCAGCAGGGTCAAGCCTGGATATAACTAAGGTTCGTAGAACAGGATGGTGCTGAAGATCTCCCCACTTTTTGATGGGGTTTCTCTTCAGCCATAAATTGAAGCTGAGATGCATCTTATCGTCTCTTCAAGGGTGAGGTCCATGTTTAGGCCTAATAAGAGACTGGACCAAGAGAGACACAATTTGGTGCAATCAGGGATGATTTTGCTGCTTCTTTCTGGGTTGAAACACAAGGTTAAGGTACAATGTCTCCTCTGTTTTCTCTTGGATAAGATGGTTCTTCCTTGTTGGTTCAGGAGAAGATGGAATGAAGGCATCCTGGGTACAACTGTATGTGATCTCAACATCTGGGCAAAGTAAGGAAATAACACATTACTCCCATATTTAACATACCTGCAGCTCAGGAACCCATTGAGAACAAGACTGATCTGCTACAGCCTAGATTAGAAAGATGGCCAGCTAATCAAGGAAAAGAAAGATTGACCTTCGGCATCAGATCTGACCCAGTCTAGTTTCCTCTCTCAAATTCTCGATGATTTTGAGAAGCTCCTGAAAAACTTAAAGGGATCTTCCCCAAAAACTTTGCCTCCAACACTTGATTAGAGAAATCTTTAATGGCTTCTAAGATACTTCGTTTTTTATTTGTTTATTTAAATATTACTTTCTCTCTTTCTGTTTGTTCGGGCTTAAAGTCCGTTTAAGTACTTGGCCGATCCATGATCTGTGAAACTGAAGGCCATAAAGAGAATTATTCATCTCCATTTTTAAAAGAAATATCTAGGGGTACTACAAAGCTTAAATTCTTTGGTTGAAACCAACAAATCAAGAAATTTAGGTGTTCACAGAGATCAAGGCAAATGGACTTGTGGAAGGGAAATCCTTGACTTGAACGGTTCGAGTTCTGAAAACTCCTAATGTTACACCTCATGTAATATCTGTCCATTCCTCTCAAATCCTGACCTGACTCTTTTTTCCTGCCTCCCCAGAGAATCTCCAACCACATCAGGACTCCAGATAAGGGAACCCTTGAACCCAAACCCTTCACTTACTGCTTTTCTTCTTCCGGTAATAAAAGGCAAGTGGAACCAGCAGAATTATTAGAGGAATCGACATCCGGGCATAACTCCAAATAAAATCGAAATCTAGGTTCCAAACTGGTTCACCTACAAAAAAAGAGAGAAGGATTTTAAAAAGTATTTCTTGGTAGAACATTTTAACCGTGCCCCGTAATTGAAAGTTTAGATGCTATTTCATGTACAATTGAAATGGATTCCTCTTGCATTAGTCCAGGGGTCAGCAACCTGCGGCTCTAAAGCCGCATGTGGCTCTTTCACCCCTCTGCTGTGGCTCCCTGTCACTCAAAATATGCGACACAACCGCCAATGTGCGACACCCGCTGGCACACGATTTATTGAGCTTTTCAACCCTCAGTAGGCCAGCCATGGATAAATCCGAGAAAAGAAGAGTTTCAGAAGAAAACTGAAGGTTTAATTCAGTGGTGAAATGTAAAATTTGTTACTATCGGTTCTGTGGGCGTGGCTTGGTGGTGGTGGGGTAATATGACTGAGTGGGCGTGGCCAACTTTTTTTTTTTTTTTACTTTTAAAACCATTTTTTTTACAAACTCTTCGGCTGAAGAGGTTGTAAAAATTTGCTTTTAAAAGCCTCTGATGATCCTAGCTGACTTGCCTGAGCGGCAGAGGCTTTTTTTTTTTTAAACCCTCTGACAATCCCAGCTGACTTGCCTGATCGGCAGAGGCTTTTTTTCCTTTTAAAAACATTTTTTCTATAACCTCTTCGGCCAAAGAGGTTGTAGAAAAAATGCTTTTAAAAGCCTCTGATGATCCCAGCTGAGCCGCACGATCATCAGAGGCTTTTTTTTTTTTTTTTTTTCTTTTAAAAGCATTTTTTTGGCCAAAGAGGTAGAAAAAATGCTTTTAAAAACTAAACAAATAAGCCTCTGATGATTGTCCGGCTCAGCTGGGCGGGGGGGGGGGCAGGGATTTTTGCTACCGGTTCTCCGAACCACCCGCCTCCATCCCTACCGGATCGGGTGATCCGGTCCGAACTGGGAGCATTTCACCCCTGGTTTAATTCAGCTACACATGCTAGTTTTGTGGCCACTCAAGAAATAGTCAGGCACGGGAAGGGTTTTGTGGCTTCCGGTGTTTTCTTTTCTGTGGGAAACATGTCCGAATGGCTCTGAGTGTTTAAAGTTGCATTAGTCTCACTTCTAGACTTTCTGTGGGGTCTCATAGAAGCCATTTCTATAGGTCTTTCTTTGTCCTTCCTAACCTCTGTGCTCCAGCACAAGGCCAGTTATATAATGTGTATAATAAATAGTTAAATCAGGTGTTGCAAAGTGTTCCTTCTGCATTTGGGCAGCAGATGCCTCCACCTCCTGAAAAGACCCACCTGTGATATTCAACGTCTTGCTCCAAGGAGACATGATCCAGCGCCCATTTATGTTTTCCTCGTATCTGCAAGCAAATTGCAGGCTTTCGTTATCTTTGGCACATAGCAAAGCTACCGACATATTTAGAGTAAGAAGCCCAGAGTCCCTGCTGCTCTTCACAGGCTCTTCATTGCTGGAGGTCATCTCCACACCATTCTGGGAGAAATGGAACCTTTTGGCGTTGTTGCTCTCGCTGGACAAACACAGGATGGACAGGACTTTGCCTTCCCTCAGGGATCCAGAAGGAGGGTCCAGCTTCAACACTGGGGGAGGCAGAGGATCTGGAGAAGAGAAGAAATGGGAATTAGCTTGGAGATGCTTTGACTCAACTGTCAATCAGTCAGAAAAGAGCTGGAAGGAACCTTGGAGATCTTCTAATCCAACCCTCTACTCAAGCAGGAGACCCCATAGGTGGCTGTCCAGTCTTTTCTTAAAAACCTCCAGTGATGAAGCCCCTACAACGTCTGGTGGCAAGCTGTCCAACTGATTAATTGTCCTCATTATTAGGAAGTTTCTCCTTAATTCCAGGTTGCTTCTGTCCTTGATTAGTTTCCACCCGTTGTTTCTTGTCCTGCCTTCTGGTGCTTTGGTAAATAATTTGACCCCCTCTTCTTTGGGGCAGCCCCTCAAATATTGGAAGACTCCTATCATGTCCCCTCTAGTCTTTATAACCTCAATTCTCAATTCCCGCAACCGTTCTTCATATGTTTTAATCTCCAGGCCTTTAATCATCTTAGTTGCTCTTCTCTGCACTTTTTCCAAAATTTCAACATCTTTTTTGTAATGTGGTGACCAAAACTGGATGTAGGATTCTGAGTGTGGCCTTAATAAGGCTTTATAAAGCAATACTAATACTTCAAGGGTTTTTGATTCTCCGCCTCTGTTTATACAACCAAGGATTGTACAGCCCCAGTTATAGAAATCCACATTTTCAAAATGAAGAAAAAAGATTTCACACCTCTCACCACAATTGAGACCGGACGACTCCACTTGGAAGAGATGTTTCTCTCATATTTCCATTCTAGGTACCGGCATTTATATAATCCAGAATCTTCCCTTGTGGCTGTGAGGACCAGGGAGATGTTGCCTTCGTGCCAATCCAGATCTTTTATAGAGGGCTGATCCTCGTTTTGCCTTGTGTGGGAAAACTGGTAGCGTCTCCGGCCTTGAAGAAGGAGGTTGGGAGTTGAGCACCAGAGGGTAATGTTCTCCCCAACCAGATAAAGGGGTTCTGGAGGATCTGGAGAAAGGATGGGAGCTGGTGGAAGCTCTAGATAGATCCAGAGGGGAAAAAGAAGTGAATATCAAATGTCCTTCCGGCAGTCCCAGGATTACAGTATCTTGACTGACACCCATCAACTCATCTAACTTCACTAGAGTTCTCGGTTGGACTTTCCTCCACACAGAAAGGAATTGATGACATTTTCTCTTTCCTCATAATATACTCCTTGGAATTAGGAGGCTGAAGAAATCTAGGCTGGGCAGCTTCACAGCCTGAATAGTGGGGCAGAAATATCCCTGAAATCTCATCAATATACCTTCACTCTCCAGGGATAGTCTAAGGAGACAGAATCTCCGTGGAACAAAATCTCCCTGCTCCAACATGAAAGTCTGCTATATAGGTAGTCCTCGATTTACAACAGTTCATTTACTGACCATTCAAAGTTACGACAGTACTGAAAAAAGTGACTTATGACCATTTTCACACTTATGACCGTTCCAGCATCCCCGTGGTCACATGATCAAAATTCAGATGTTTGTCAACTGATTCATACTTATGACAGTTGCAGAGTCATAGGGGGCTGTGATCCACTTTTGCGACCTTCTGACAAGCAAAGACAACAGGGAAGCCAGATTCACTTAACAACCAGGTTACTAATTTATCAATTCTAGCGATTCAGTTAACGACTGTGGCAAGAAATGTCGTAAAATGGGGCAAACCCCGCTTAACAAATTCTCAGAAATTTGGGGCTCAATTGTGCTCGTAAGTCGAGGACTACCTGTATCACATTTCCTTCAGCTTTCTGGTGTAAAACAAATTGGTCTGTTTGAACATTTTGTACTGGTTTTTTTTGTTTCATGAACAATTAAATAAATATATATATATATATATATATATTTAATTTAATGAATTAATGAACACAAGGATTGAGTCTCCTTGAAACATTCCGTGTTGTAGGAATCTCTTAGGCATCTTTCTAACAATGTGAACAATATTTCTCAACCTGGAGAACAAAATTAACTCCCAAAATTCCTCAGCCAGCATATGGAATTCTGAGAGTTGAAGTCCACACAGCTTAAAGTTGTCACGATGGAGAAGCCCTGATGTAAACACTTTATAAATTAGAAGAAAGTTCCTTACCGATGACAGAGAATTCACCCCAATTACTCATTCGAGACAGAGCTCTTCTGCCTTCCCTGGTTTTCCCCATGTAAGAACAAGAAAATATTGCTTTTGGACCCATTCGCAATGCAGGAATGAGCAGAGTATTTCTGATCTGTTCTTGATATCTCTTCCAGTCACCCTTTTCATTCATGCGATCGAAGAAGTATTTCTCTCCCTCCTGTCCTTCTGGTGGGGAACATATTAATTCGATATATTCTCCTTTGACGAGAATTTGGTGAGAAGGTGACCAGGACAGGGTAGGAGCTGCTGGGGCCAAATTCCTCTGAAAATCTGAAAAACAAAGGAAATTTGAAAATAATCCCATAAAACTTCTTGCAAGTTTATAAGCAGAATTGCGTTGCAAGAATCCAAGAGAAACCCACAGGCTACAAGTAGACAGAAACAACCAAATTATCTCCTCTCAAATAAAAGTCTTTACAGGTAGTCCTTGACTTACAACTGGCTGCTTAGTAAACCTTCGAAGTTACGACAGACCTCAAAAAAAAAAAAAAAAACTTACAACCCAGATACGATATTCCGACAGCAGGCTGCATTATGGTCATTAGGCTGTGGATTATGTATACATCCGATGACTGGAGAGTAGTAGAGCATTACTCTCAACATCTCTACCAACCACAATTAATTCTTTAACGGAGATCCAGACAAGTCAATGCATGCCTGTTGAGAGCTAAGGATGGACCAAATGTGTCTTTCTGCATGTATCCCTGGACTACAATTCCCATCACCCTTTAGCAGTGGCCATATTGGACAGGGCTTATGATAGCTGGGATTCTGTAACATCTGGAGGGTCTCATACTGCTGACAAACAGGGACCCTCTACCTAAATTCAGCAGAAGAGAGATCAGGGCTGGTATTCACTTACTTTCCCTACCGTTTTGGAAATGTGAGTGCGCACTTGCCCCCGCCTTCCGCACATGTACTTTGCTGGTGTGCATAGCTTCCACATATGTGCCCGGCCTCAAAAACGTGCCTAAATAGGATGGCAAAGAGCCGGGGCAGGTGGCTGAGCCCAACCACAATTTCCACCACCAGTTCGGGCGAACCGATCCGAACCGGCTGAATCCCACCTCTAAGAGAGATCTTTTCCTCTGCCTGCAGATTCACGTCCATGGCCTGGCCTATTAATTTAATCTATTAAAGATCTTTTGCAAGAGAGCCATGAATTAGCCTCAGCAAGACCTGAATCCATCTGAATCATTTTGTCGATGCTTTTGCTTGACGGAGCCATTGTTACAATCGGAACTTGGTTAACTTCTATTTGACACTTGCCACATGAAGCTAAAGAGGCTGACCACAAATGTCGAAGTCACAGGAAATGCTAGTGAAGACTGGCGATTGTGACTTTGTGACTGTGATAAAGAATTTGGCAAAATGGGCCTATTTTACTGGACCAAGGAAAGGGGACGTGCAGTTTGCTTAATCTATGGTCAAGAATCTCCAGGTGAAAAATCCTGAGGTAAAACGTTCATCGTTAGCATGTTGACTGACTTGAGCATTGAGCCCTGGCCAGCAAGATGCAAGAAATGTAAAGTTTTACACTCAGGGAGAAAAAAAAAACAAGTACACAGGTGTAGAATAAGTGGAACCTGGCTCAACTGCAGTAATTGTGAGAGGAATCTTGGAGTCCTAGTGGACTCTCACTTAAATATGAGCCAGCAGTGTGTGCCAGCTGCCAAAAAAGCCATATTAGTCCTAGGCTGCACCAACAGAGGCAGAGTTTCAAGGAGCAATGGATGGAAACTCATCAAGGAGAGAAGCAACCTAGAAATAAGGAGAAATTTCCTGACAGTCAGAACAATAATCAGTGGAACGACTTGCCTCCAGAAATTGTGAATGTTCCAACATTGGAAGTTTTTAAGAAGAGATTGGACATCCATTTGTCTGAAGTGGTGTAGGGTTTCCTGCCTGAGGAGGGGGTTGGATTAGAAGACCTCCAAGGTCCCTTCCGACTCTGCTATTCTATTCTATCACGAGAAGCGATATTACTGCTTTATTCTGCCCGGGTGAAGCCACACCTGGAATACTGAGTCCAGCTTTGGTTACCATGATATGAAAAAGATGTTGAGACTCGGCTTCCGGTTTGGCTTCCGTCACCATCAGACGGTCCTTTGAGACCGCCAGCCCCGTCGCTCGTAAAGAGCCGCCTTTACATCTGAAAGGCGGCTCGAAAAACTCCATTTCCTTAAGGAAATGTGAGATAGAGCAGGCGAGGGCAGGTAGAGCCCTCTGCGAAGTCTCCAGAGTTTTTGTTTTACTCTTGGGGACGAAGCAGGATGAGGCTCCCTCTTTTCCTCGCCGCTGCTCCGGGCGTCGGGAGAACTCTGCTTTTTGCAGAGCTAGGCGACAGGACCAAGCCATTTACTGAGAACTAACAGATTGTTTAAACAAAGAGGATGAGTTCTGGACTCTGGACCCTAAATCGCAAGTATTTTTAACAATTTTATAAGTGATTTTAAAAGCGAAGGAAAAAAAGTTTAAAATGGCGACTAGCTGAGGCTTGAGAAGAAGAAAGCTGAAAGTGAAAGTCCTTCCGCCTGAATAGTTTAACAAGCTACAAAGTAGCAGAAATAATAGTGCTGGCTAGAATTGAAAAGAAAAATTTCTACTTTATGTTTCTTTCCTCTTGGAGATTTGATATTGATATTGTCTGGAGAGAAGTCCTTTTTTTAAAAAAGAGTTTGTCTGTGTGGCAGAATGGCGTTAAAACTAACAAAGCCAGACAAACAAGCAGCGGGGGGGGGGGTTTCCCCCATTTACAAACCACATGAACAAGTTTTGAATTTGTAGACTCAGAAGATTGGTTTTAACCTAAAAGAATTTGTTTTGGAGGAGATGGCAAGACATGATGAGATTGTGAACCAGAATCTTGAAAAATTCAGGCAGGAAATTAAAGAGTTGGTACAACAAAAATATGGCAATCTGAAACAACAGTTTGTAACAGCTTTGAAAACTTTTTCAGAAATAGTTATAAAGATGGATAAAGATACTAATTCAGAACTAGAGTCTAAAATGAAGGAAGTTGATCACAAGATTTATAATCTGGACAATAAAATACAAAGAATTGAAAATGATTTGATAAATACTCAAGATAATAGCTTAGAAGTAAAGTCTAAAAAGAAAGCTGATCACGAGACTTACAATGCTGATAATATAAAACAAAGGATTGAAAAAGAAGTTACAATAATGCAATATAGGTCCATGGAATTTGCGGTCAGAATGAGGGGACTACAGGAAAATTATAGAGATGATTTGAGAAAGATGTCTGCTGAAGTTCTGGCTGGGATTTTAAAGGTTCATCCTGAAGAGGTATTCTGTAAGATTGACAAGGCCTACAGAGTAAATTCTTGGATTGCAAAGCAAAGGCAGTTGCCTAGAGATGTGGTGATTTACTTTAGAGACAAAGGAATAAGAAATGATATTGTGCAAAAATCTTTCAACTCTACTTTAGAACTGAACGGAAGAAAGATTTGGATATATAAAGAGTTGCCGCCTAAGATGTTAAAAGATAGAAAGCAATTTGGATTTTTGGTGACTGAGCTAAAGAAACAAAACATCCCATTTAGGTGGGATGTCCCAGTGGGTGTAATATTGAGATATCAAGGAGAAAGATACCAATTAAAAATTGTTGAAAAAGCGGAAGAATTTTACTACAAGGTTCTTAAAATGGATTTAACATCTCCACATATGACATTTCCGTTAGGAACACAGGAGGGGAACAAAGAAATGCAAAATGAACAAGAGACTGAAACTCAGGCTAAGCAGATGGAGATGGAGACAATGGAAAAACAACAAGTCACAGAGGTTCCTTTGGACGAGCCGCTTCTGGATTCTTCTTCAGAGGTTATAGTTGGATTACCTATAAATACAAGAGAGGCGGCTTTGGATTCTAATGTGATGACTAATCAAGCTACAGATCAGCAAGGAAATCAAACAGTTGATATACAACTCATAGAAAGGAAACCAGGATGGAGATGTAAGCCACAAAAAGTTAAGAAAAGAAGAAGCAGGTCCTACAAAAACAAAAATTTTTAGACTAAACAATAGTGATGCCAGTTACTTAAGAGACGATTGAATATATGAAAATATAGTTGAGGCAAAGTATTGGTTTATATTATCCTGAGGAGAGTGACAGATCTCTGCAGTGCTGTACTCTTGGGATGTGAGATGGCCTTAAACTGAGTGGATTGGAACTTTCTATTTTGGACTCTTTGACAAATGGATTACGTTTATGTTGAGCTATAAGGCAAGAGAACTAAGGGATTGGGGCATGCAGAAGATCTGGCTGTTACCCCAACACGGTGGTTGGAATTAATAATCTAGATGGAAGACATTATAGATGACACTATATGGAATATAAATATAAAGTCACTCGGGTGGTTTTTTATATATGAAAACATTTACTATTGATGGGGGCAGATGGTAATTGAAGATACCGAACATACTGTTGGAATTAGGATGTGATGTTACCCTAACATAGGTAATGGAATTAACAATCCAGTTGAGAGACATTACAGAAGATATCATATGGATTACAAATTTAAAGTCATTTGAGGATTTTATATATATATGTAAATATTTTTTTTAGTGGTGTGAGCAGAAGAATAAAGATATTGAAAATATTATGTATGGTAGACCTATAGGAAAGTGGGTGGAGATAGGTTAGTTTATTGATTGTTTAGTTTAGGAAAAGGGATGTTATGTTATATCAATATATGTAAAAGATTTGAATTAAGAGATTTATGTACGGGGGAGGATGAGTTGAAATTGCTAAATTAGGATTTATTATATAATTTTACAGCTGAATGTTGCTTTGAAATGTATAGTATAAGGAGGATATAATAATATTGTCAGAAGGGTGGAGAACTGATTGTTTAGTTTTGGAAAAAGGATGGTATGCTATATTAATATACATAAAAGATTTGAATTAAGAGATATATGCACGGGGGAGGAGGAAATGGATAGATTATGAGTTGAATAGATGAAATTGCTAAATTAGGATTTATTATATAATTTTACAGTTGAATGTCGCTTTGAAATGTATAATATAAGGGGGATATAATAATATTGTTAGAAAGAAAGGGTCCGCATATGGGGGGTGGAGCAAAAAGGATGGTAAAGTATTATATAATCTGTTATTAATTTGGGTTTTATTCTGGAGAAGCCACGGGGGAGGGGAGGGTGAGGGGAGGTTAGGGAGGAGGGGAGGGATAAGGAGGAAAAATCTGTATTTGAAAAAAATTTTCAATAAAAAAAAAGATGTTGAGAAAAAGAGTGCAGAGAAGAGCAAGAAAGATGATAAGGGGACTTGAAGCTAAACTATATGATGAACGATTGAGAGGATTTGTCTAGTCTAACAAAGAGAAGGATTAGGGGAGATACGACGGCATCTCCCAATACTTGAAGAGCTGTCACAGGAAAGAACATTTGAAATTTCTAAAATTTCAGTGAGAAAAACAAACGTTTCTAAGAAGCAAAATCTCATTATTTATTCTGTTCATCAAATACAAACGGCTGTCTTTCTCTTTTGAGTCTTTTCGCTAATTTACCGCTTAAAAAACAATTCCTGGATAGGAAATTTCTTTTTCGGAAAGAAGACAAAAAACAAAAAATCACTCCTCAGAAATAAGAAAAAGGAAAATAGGAAAAAGGGAGATTTTTCAGTGTATACCACAGTGATAGCTCGTTTATCTATTCTTCTGATATCAACTACACATTCCCAAGCGTGATAGGGAGGATTTATTCCCCTCTACCTCTTGGGAGAGAAATCTTCAGCTCCGGATCCTTCCTCCCATTTTATCTCAGAAAATGGAAAAAGTAGAAGCGAAGAAATGAAGTTTACCTTGGGCGGTCGATTCACACAGAAGGATCTGGAGAAAAACTGGAAGAAATAAGAAGCGAGCCACACAATTCATGGTGGGAACAAGAGAAGCTGAAGAAGGCCAAGAGAAGCGATAAACGTTCAACCGATCCTTCCAGGGGTGGCTTCCGTTCTCCAGGAAACGGTCCATTTTGTGGAGCTGAGGTCTTCTCAGCACCACCGCTGCTCTGCTTCTGAACTGGGGGTGATAACCTGGCCTTTGTTCTTGACAGCGAACAGCAAGAAAGGAAGCACGTCATCAACACTTCTCTACCACCCTCCTCTTCATGTAGCAGGTCCAGCAAGATGAACCCCGCTCACTGCTCAGCTCCGAAGCCTTCGTGACCACAGCAAACCTTTTCTGCAATCGCACAAGGGCATCTCACCGCCTCCGGTCCTAGGCGTGCCATTGTCAAGTCCTCTGTGCAACCACGGAACTTAAGAAGAGCCAGAAATAATATAATTGGTGTGAACTGACAAAACTCGGAAAAAAACGCCACATTTCCTTTCAAACCCTCCTTTACCTCCAACCCAGAAGCTGCTTCATTCCCCCGATACACCAATCCATAGCGTAGCATCTCTGCTGCATCTTCAAAGTTAGCTACCAGGATCCACAGTGTTGCTCAGAAACTTAACCACCATTAAGCGGATGTAGAAGGTTATCAGAATTAGTTGAACTCGCAGTGGAAAAGATAAGACCAGGGGTGGGTGGGCTTCAAAAATTTTAGCAATGGGTTCTCTGCCCAGTTGCTGGGTGGGCTTGGCCATGGTGGGCATGGCTTAGTCGGCCTCTTGCACCACAGTGGGGGTGGGCATTTTTGCTCTCCCCGGGCTCCGGAGGCTTTCCTTGAGCCCCTGGGAGGGTGAAAACAGCCTTCCCAGGCTCTGGAGGCCTTCTGGAGGTTTCTGTGATGCCCTCCCCTCCCTCACTCCTGGCAAGCGATGGCCCAGTAGGCCCATTTTTCTTTCTCACCTGGCTCCAGATCCTCTCTATGCATGTGAGGAGGGCGAAAACAGCCTCCCCAAGCCCTCCGGAGGCCCGAAATGGCCCATTTCCCGACTTCCGGTTGGACAGGAAGTGACGTTTTTTTGTTGTCAACAGCCTCCAGAGACTCCTAGAGAGGCTGAGCTGGCGTGCCAGTTGACATGGCTCTGCGTGCCACCTGTGGCACGCGTGCCATAGGTTTGCCATCATGCTGAGGCAAGATCTCCTCAGCATGAGTTTCAACTCCTGGTGACCAATTTGACTCTGTAGTTTATTTTGACCATAGTACAAACGCCATTGGCCCTTGTCTTCATCCAAGATGATTTCCCAATATCTCCATTCTGGATTTCTTGAAGAAACCAGGAGGAAGAAGATACTTTAAGAAGTATCCAGACCTCTTCAAGCTTTGGTTTCTGAGACCAACCAAAGGTCAGCCTGGCCTTTTCCAGATGTGGAGAGGATTTTTCACGCCAAAGATTAAAACGAAAACTATTTCCAGCTGGAATGGAAGAAGATACGATTAAATCCCAGAAATGGCCATTGGAAAATATCCACGCAAGAAGGGTATTTTAATGCATAGAGGCAGATATTTACTTTCCTGAGTATTTATAGAGGGTCCGCTCGGTTGAAGCAAAAAGTCAAACCAGATTATTCCCTCAGAGATATTTGGGAACCCCCAGGAGCTGATTATCACACTTAAAAAAATATTTGTATGGTTTATAGAGAGCTCTTCTCCCCTTCAATTTATTTTTAATGCTGGGGAGAGGAAAAAAGGAGAGATATTTAGGAATTTTGAGGGGGCAAGACCAATTTCATGATGGAACATCAACAATCATAGATCAAAGACTCATTTTTGTGTCTTCTTCTGTCCTCAAGGCCAATCTTTTTTCTCTCTCTTCCTTAATTTCTTCTGATCTTGGAGTCTCTTTGTTTGTTATCACCATTCATGCCAAGAATTCCCAGCTGTGTCCACCTTCTCATCTTTCACATTTGGGGACCTTCGTTAGATGGTTCTTGAGATCACCATCAGTTTCATGGTTTCCTTCAGCCAAAATTCAACGTGGCATCTCTGCTTCCCTTTTCCTCAGAAATACCTCTCAAACATCTGGCTTTCCAGCACAAAAGGCCTCTCCTTGATGTCTAGGTTCTTCAGGTTGGTTTGAAGAGACCTTCAGTTGAGGAGGGGAATAATCCCCAAAGATCAGGGAGTGATGATGTCTTGGATGGACCTTCATCAAAACCAATAGCTGGAAGACCATAAGGCCAATCAGAGATGCTATTAAGAGGGGACTGATAAAATTGAAAGGCAACATTCTGATGTTTGAGACACAGCCAATGTGTTTAAGAGCCGTTTCAGTGGAACCTACTGCTCTTTGACGATATTGCCAGTTGAAGTGTTTCTTTGTTGTTGTTAGTTGCAAAGTCGTGTCCGAACTTTTGAGATCCCATGGACAACTTTTCTCCAGGCCTTCCTGTCCTCTACCATCCCCCAGAGTCCATTTAAGCTCACACCGACTGCTTCAGTGACTCCATCCAGCCATCTCGTTCTCTGCCGTCCCCTCCTTCTTTTTTTGCCCTCAATCATTCCCAGCATTAGGCTCTTCTCCAGTCAGTCCTTCTTTCTCATTAAGTGGCCAAAGGATTTGAGTTTCCTCTTCAGGATCTGGCCTTCTAAAGAGCAGTCAGAGTTGATCTCCTCTAGGACCAACCAGTTTGATCGCCTAGCAGTCCAAGGGACTTGCTGGAGTCTTCTCCAGCACCAGAGTTCAAAGGCCTCAATCCTTTGACGTGTTTCTTTATTAATGCTTTATTATTCTTTTTATTGCATGGATTTATGGCTCCACTTTGGAAATGCATGGCTTAGGAGAAGAAGTGGAACTAATCAGGTCAGAGACACAGGGCTGACATTTAGGTCTTGCAAAAAGCAGAATGTCTTGGCTTCGTGCCATTCACACCTCTTACCTCACCGGATGGCTATTTTTTAGTTTAAATTCTCCTCGGGTGCAAGAGAGGCCAGGAGGATGGCGACAGTGAGCTGCTTCATAGAGAAAGGCTTTGGTAACATGAAGAAGGCGTAGGAGTTGAGCTGTGTTAGATGGATGACGCAGTTCCTCCCTTGGGCGTTGAGTTGGAGGACTGGCTCAAGACAAGTTGCAGCTCTGAATCTCTCTGGGGAAATAAGAAGAGAGTGGTGGATCTCAAGGCTGGCTACCCAGGAATCCTGAAAAGAAGATGGAGACCATCCCTTGGATGATAGGTTTGAGACCTCCTTCCTCTTCTACTTCCCATCTCAAACTGACTCTTCTCCTGCCCGAAGAGATTATTACTTTACTCTCACATTCTTCTCTTATTCTAGATCTTTCTCAGCAAACAATAACTTTCTTGTTTCTTAGTTTGGCATAATTTGAACAACGGGGGCACTTACCTGCCTTCCCCCAATTGTGTCACCAGTTCTCTTGATTTACGGTCATCTCAACTAAAGGAGATTTGGAGAGGGGATGCAGAGCAGTCCCTCCCACCAGAAACACCCAGAAGAAGACCCCAAACGTCAGCTTCAAAGTCAATTAAAGAGATAGGAAGTTGGAGTACTGGATGAGACAAGAAAGGGGTCCTTCTGTGGGTCACAGAGAAGGGCGTGTTGAGTATAAGGAGCCTCCCTTTTCTCCTTCCTGCTCCTCTCAAACGACTGAGAACTGAAGACATCAGAATAGATGAATTTTGGAGTGAAAATACTCCTGTGCCCCCGATAGTCTCCCTTTTTGTTCTTCAAGCTAATCCCAGACATGATAAGGATGGTTTGGGGACTCTTATGACCTCCAAAGGCCAGAATATGGGTGGGAGAAGAGAGACCCCCCTTTCCTTCATTTCATCTGCTGCATCCATCCATTCAGAGAAGACGAATCAGTTGAAGATGGTGGGGATGGAAGTCTTGCACAGCCTTAAATCATCTTCTCTTAACTCCGCCTTCCCTTCTTCTCTCTTTCAGTCCTTTCAAGGATCCTCCTAGGAGTAGGTAAGGAACCCTCATTCAGACGTTATTTGTGTTCACAAAAATGTAGGCTGTGATTGTTGCATCTGGATGGTTTTCTTGCATTACCAGGTCCCATGCTTAATGCTGGTTCTTGAGGCACACTAGCTTGCCGTGCCAGCTCGGATCTGATTCTGGAATGCAAGAAAACCAAGCTCCAACCCTGATGTGATTTCCAAGCTTTCATTGGTTCAAAGGTTGGTTGGAGGCTGTTCTCAGTGACTTCATCAGGAAGACCTCCGACTTAGAGGAGGAAGAAGGGGAGCTGAGCTCCAGAATTGTTCTCACCTGGAGAAGAGAGAATCAGTCGGTTAAGGATCCCCAGAGCTGTTTATAGATGGGATCCATTCTGGGAATTGGGGGTGGATGTTCTGGTGTAGAGATTTGGTTCCAGGAAGAGATCAGAAGGAAGGATTCAATGGCATCTCTTTCTTTTCTTTGGTTCATGGACAGATTCATCTCTTCTGGCCCCCAGCCTGTCCTCGTCTCTTCCATACACCGTCATTATTAAAGGAGAAGAGATTCCTTTGAAATGTTCCATCCCCGAGGGATCTTCTACAGAATTGTCCTTTTTCTACTGTTTTGATCAATCAGGCATGCCAATCAAACATGCAGATCTTCATAAACATACCTTCATTCTGAAGACTGTGGATTTGTATTCAAACCAAACAAAGATAGCATGTACATGCGCATTCTTGGAACCATCTGGAGGAAACCAATTTTCTCTCAACAGTAACCAGCTGGTCTTCTCAATCATTGGTAAGTTGAATATTTATTGCAGAGAAATACTTACATCGAAGGCAGCGGTGAAATCCTCTGAAGTCTGCTACTGGTTCTGTGAATCTACTACTGAATGTGTGCTTCGGCTGAGGCGCGCCCGTCCAGAACTAAAAAAGGAACATTTTGAAGCCTTCCGAGTCTTCAAAGATAAGTAGAACAGCGAGGGAAGGGGGAATCCGCTGTGACACGCGATTTAGATTAGCTAGAAAGCAGGAAATCCGACGATTCTAGCTAATATAAATTGCGCATCAGAGCTGATTGTCGCCCAGCTGATCGTCGGAAATACCGGTTCGCCCGAACTGGTAGAATTTTTTTTACTACCAGTTCGGGAGAACTGGTCCTAACCGGTAGCATTTCACCCCTGGCGCCAATGCTTAACCTATGAAAACCTACATTAAACCATTCGGAAATTAATCCAATGAACAAAAAAGCAAAGAAGCAAATTCACAGTTATACAAATAATGTCTTCTGTAAGAAAATGTTTAGGAGGACTGTCTTTTTATGGGGAAAAGATCTTCCCGATGGGATATTATGGTAGTGAGAATATTGTGAGAGCAGTTACAGAAACAAGGGTGATTCTTCCACTCTTAAACACTTCATAGCTATAGTATATGGATATGAACACAGGAAATGGGTACGAATAAATGGGGACAGTAGGACAGGGACGGTAGGCACGCTGGTGCACTTATGCACGCCCCTTAGAGACATCTTAGGAATGGGGTGAGGTCCACAGTAGACAGTTTAAGATTAAAGTTATGGGGTGTTGAGGATGTAACAACAGAGTCAGGTAGTGCATTCCAGGCCTTGACCACTCTGTTGCTGAAGTTGTATTTTCTGCAATCGAGTTTGGAGCGGTTTACCTTGAGTTTGTATCTATTGTTTGCCCGTGTATTATTGCAGTTGAAGCAGAAGCAGTCATTGACAGGGAGGACGTTGTAGCAGATAATTTTGTGTACTACGCTTAGGTCAGACCGTCGGTGGCTAGGTTGTCCAAGCCCAAAATTTCATGTCTGGTGGCATAAGGGATTATATTGTGAGCAGAGGAGTGGAGGACTCTTCTCGTGAAATACCTCTGGATTCGCTCAATTTATATATATCTCTTAACTGTATTTTAATATTTGTATTTGATGTTTTTACTTGGCTGTTCACCACCCTGAGTCCTCAGGGAGAAGGGCGGTATACAAATTCAAAATAAAATAAATAAAATAAAATAAAAAAATAAATTGTATTAATGTCCGATATACAGTGCGGATTCCAGGCAGACGAGCTGTATTTGAGAATTGGTCTAGCAAAGGTTTTGTATGCCCTAGTTAGCAGTACAATGTTACCGGAGAAGAAGCTTCACAATATTAGGTTAACAACTCTTAATGCCTTTTTGGCAATGCTGTTACAGTGAGCTCTGGTGCTTAGATCATTTGAGATGAGTACTCCAAGATCCTTAACAGAGTGAGGGTTGTCTATGAGGTCATATCCACCCAGCTTGTATTTGGTGTTCTGGTTTTTGTTACCAATGTGTAAGACAGAGCATTTATTGGTTGAGATTTGGAGTTGCCAATTGTTTGACCATTCTGACATATAGTCAAGGTCTCTTTGTAGGGCAGCAGCATTGTCAGTGGTGTTGAATAGTTTTACGTCGTCAGCGAAGAGGACGCAGCTGCTTAGAATATGCTCGCAAAGGTCATTTATGTAAAGTAGAAAGAGTGTTCTGAGATAATGACTGTCACTTATAACTCGTGACAGTCACATGACTTCTTGTTAAGTGAGGCATGGTGTATTGTATCTATGTATTCTGGTGACTCTTCTGATTCCCACCAATCAAGTGGTTTCCAAAGTTTAATTATATCAAAAGTGGGAAGCAGTTATCACTGGGTCCATCAGTAAGGGCCCTGATGGTGGCTACAAAGGAGAAGATAGTGTGATGGACTACTGTGAAGCAGCAGTTTTCCAGGAAAGAGGGTTACATTGTGGTAACCAAAACTGAATGCAATATTCCAAATGTGGTCTTACCAAGGCGTTATAAAGTAGTATCAACACTTCATGTGAGCTTGATTCTATCCCTCTATTAAGTTGGTTGATTCTGTGTCATTCATGGGTTGGGCCTGACAGCTTGCCTTCTTAATTTTGGCCTCATAGGATGGTTTTTATCTCTTTTGAAAACACGTTTTCTGTACAGGAAAGGTCAGGAAGGGGTTGTGGGTGTATGAACTGCGGTATTGAAAAAGAGCTTTGATGTGAAGAAGGAGGCCGAGGACAGAGCTGTGGAAATATGGGTATGAGTGTACTTGGTGAAGATGAGCCAGTTATTTTTTCTTGCCAGAGTTAGAGGACAGAATTATGGGTAGGTGCAAACTTTCAGCTGCATGGCTCTGGCATGTCCAGTTCTGCTGCCTTCCAAATTCTCTACTCACAAGAAAGGGTACTAAGTGACGCCAGACCACTGTGGACTGGTTTAATCCAAGAAAATTCTGGAAATATTCCACCTTACAGTTTTCAGTCCAGAAGGTGTAATTATGGAAGGAAGAACTCTATGATTTTGCTTTCGTTCCATGAGATGACCGAAAGATTCATCCCTTACAGTTTTATCCTTGCTAGTTCTCCAAGAAGTCACCTGGTGGCCTTTTCTGGTTGTCGTTGGGATGAGACATCCTTGTCGCATAGAAATCAGTGACAAGGACAGCTGTCTTCCTGTTAAAACAATGTTTATTTATTTATTGTATGGCTTATTTACCTCACGTTTTGCTACCTCATGTTATTTACCTCATGTTTTGATAGCTCACGTTATTTACCTCACGTTTTGATAAATAAGGGACCACCTTTGGTGGGAAGGTAAGAGCATTCCATGCGCCTTTGGCATTTAGTCATGCCGGCCACATGACCACGGAGACGTCTTCGGACAGCTCTGGCTCTTCGGCTTTGAAACGGAGATGAGCACCGCCCCCTAGAGTCGGGAACGACTAGCACATATGTGCGAGGGGAACCTTTAGCTTTACCTTGATAAATAAAACAAGAGATAAAAATACAAAATGTGAAATAGGAAGTCTAAAATATTATAAACATATATCTAGATTGCAGGTATAATTTTCTGTTTTGTTTGCCACAGCCAGGACCTCAACAAAATCTCCATTCTAGGCTCTAATTTGGCACTCTTGTCACTAGATGCTGGAGAGTTCAAACAAAGAAAATTCACAACAAACTTTTTTTTTAACCAAAAATGAAACTGTCATAAACAAAGCTGAGTCCTGTGGCTTTTTTAGTCGCTGAAATATAGCAAGAGGGAGAAGTGGGGAATTTTTGTTTCTTGATCTGAGAGGAGGGGTTTTTTTTTAAGCAAGAAAAGGTTTATTGTAATTTCTTCTCTTAAGTTAAAGTAAAATTTATTTTCCCTTCTTGTTTTCCATTTTAAAATTTCGTTTTACAAAGTATCTCTGCTTTGCTTCGTACAAATGGTACTTTAGGTTCAAGGAAGCACTGTGTGGATGATTTGAGGAAACTTCTCTGCTTCAAAGGAGAAATTAATATTTCCCTTGTGAACATTTTGTGCAGATGTCCTCCCTTCCCCAGTGCTGAGAGTGGATCTGTTGTCCCAGAAGGTGAAGGAAGGTGACCCCTTGCTCTTCCTCTGCTCAACGGAAGGAGGTAACCCAGAGAAGAAGTTCCATTTCTACAAGGATGGGGTGGAGATCACCTCCAGCGAAGAAGGTCTTCTGGAACCTTCCAGTGAACCCACAAATCCTCTTCAACATGCCTCTCTGAGGATCCTACATGCCACATTCAACCACACTGGGGAATTTGCTTGCAGTTATGAAGAAAATATAAATGGACGCTGGATCATGACTTCTTGGAGTCAGGGAGTGAAGGTCACAGGTGAGCCCGTTGGGGGAAGGATGGATGGGATGAATTTTGGGATGTGAGGCCATCAGGAAGTCCCATCACCCACAGGCTACGCTAGGAAGGACAAAGAAAGACCTGGAGAAAGGCAAATGGCTTCGGTGGGAAAATTGCTGAGAAAATTCCCTGGAGAGGTCCATGAAAAATCCAGAGTTTGCTGTAAGAAATGTTATTTCAATTATAGATTTAATATGATCCAAACCTTGAAGAACAGGACATGTCTAAGACGTACTGACCTAGGCTTCCTGAGACAGTAAAAAGCACACGCTTAGTCCCTCTTTTTATTTCAACGGCTGTGAATTCTGTTCATTCACAGCCCGTAATGAGTCCCAAGCAGTTTGTGAATGGTCCAAAAGAAGTCTGCCACAGTCTTTCAGGATAAGGCTGATAAGCACCCACCTTTATCTCCCTTGAAACCCTGCCAAAGACCTAATTGCCAATGAGCTTTGCAAGGCCCCACGGAGCACAGAGTCAAAACGGAGCTTCAGAGTTTAAACTGACCAGAACGAACAAAGTTGCTTCCTGCAAAGGGTCACGTCCCTTTGCTCCACCTTTATGTTTTATGGAAGGGGCCAATCATCTCCAAGCCTTACTCCTGAGTCGCCCCTTTTGTCTTAACTGTTCTTGCCTTCTGGCAGCTCTGCGCATGCGCACAGTGGGAACAGGCTCCCCCTGTTCCTCTGCCTCTCTGATGTCAGACTCTGGAGGCTCCGGAAGTAGCACATAACTACCAGATGGCCCTGGCCCCCTCTCTGCCTCCGACGCAGAGCTCTTGTCCGAGCCTTCCCTAGACTCCAGGACTGGCCCATGTTCCTCCCCAGCCTCCTCATTGTCCGACGCTGCTGCCAGCTCTGCCGGCTGCCGGCGGACCACAACAATACTAAATCATCCTTCTCCTTTATTGGTCAAACCAGTTTGGACCCAAGATTCAGACACTATATGGAGATATTCCTGGGCGGCGATTCCTCTTATAATCCTGCTAGTTCCATTTGCCTTTTATTGCTGGAAGAAGAAGAGCAGTAAGTGAAGTGGTTTGGGTTCAAGGGTTCCCTTACCTGGAGTCGTAGGTGGCTCCTGATGTGGTTGGAAATATTGACTGAGAGATTCTCTGGGGAGGCAAGAAGGAGAACCAGGCCTGAATATGAGAGGTCTGGGAAGATAATATGTGAGGATGGTAGAAAGTAGTAGTTTCATCCTTATTTTTATTTTTGTTATTCTCTTGGAAGAATCTCCATCCCAGGGACAATCTCAGAAAGAGGAAAGAAATGATGGAGTGATGGAGCCTCAAGCAGCAAGAGCAGCTATACCCTCGCCTGTCAAGGTAGGTGGTGGGGTTCATGTTGTTGTTATTACTTGCGAAGTTGTGTCCAACCCATCGCGACCCAATGGACCACATTCCTCTAGGCCTTCCTGTCCTCTACCATCCTCTGGAGTCCATTTAAGCTCATGCCGACTGCTTCCGTGACTCCATCCAGCCACCTCGTTATCTGCCGTCCCCTTCTTCTTTTGCCCTCCATCGTTCCCAGCATTAGGCTCTTCTCCAGGGAGTCCTTCCTTCTCATTAGGTGGCCAAAGTTTTTGACTTTTCTCTTCAGGATCTGACCTTCTAAAGAGCAGTCAGGGTTGATCTCCTTTAGGACCGACAGGTTTGATCGCCTAGCAGTCCAAGGGACTTGTAGGAGTCTTCTCCAGCACAGAGTTCAAAGGCCTCAATTCTTTGGTGCTCAGCCTTCCTTATGGTCCAACTTTCACAGCCATAAATTGCAACTGGGAAAACCATAGGGCAGGGGTAAAATCTGTTTATCTTCCCTACCGGTTCGGAAGTGTGCATGTATGCGTCATGTGCGATTTTGGACGCTCTGCACATACGCAAAGCCTGCGCATGCACAGAGGGTGAAAGCCAGGTTATTTCCTGGTTAAAACCAGGAAGTAACGACGTCCGGGCAGTTGGGGGGAGCCTCACACTGCCGCCGCTACCAGTTCTCTGAACCACCTGCCGCCGCTACCAGTTCGTCAGAACTGGTGCGAACCAGTAGCATTTCACCCCTGACATAGGAGTGGGATTCATAGGTGATTTTAATCAGGGTCTGCAGGGAAGGGTCTTGTTTTCACTGATGAGTGAAGCCAGGTTCATGAGATCCCCACTGACGGTCTCCTCTGGAGCCCCCCAACTGCCTTTGTGTAGAGACAAGGGTGGTGCAGATGGGCTTTAGAGTGCCTGAACCACATTGTTGTAATCTTAGTACAACTGAACCCTGAAATTCAAGCAGGATTTACCTTCTTTAGGACCGCTTGTCTTGATCTTTCTGAACATCAGCCCTCAATGTCTTCACCTGATGGTTTGAGAATCTTTCTTGGCTGTAGCAGATCAGTCAACCTTATTGATTTCTAAAAATGATGTAAACTGATGGAGAAACCCCTTGTTCTCAATAGGTTCCTCAGATGCAGGAGATTGAATGTGTGAACAGTGCCCGTTCTTTCACTAAATTTCCCCAAAACTCTGAGGTCGCCTACAGCTTCATCCGAGACTCCTTCGCTCCATCTCCTCTTGGACCAACAAGGAAGAACCGTCTTACACAACGGGAAAAAGAGGGGATATTGTACAATGACGTTGTGTTCCAACCCAAAAGGAGGCAGCAAAGTCATCTCTGATAGCAGCAAAACGTGTTTCTCTTAGTCCAGTCTCTTATTAGGCCTAGACATGGACATCACCCTTGAAGAGACGATGAGGTGCAGCTGAGCTTCAACTTATGGCTGAAGAGAAAACCCATCAAAAAGTGGGGAGATCTTCAGCACCATCCTGTTCTATGAGTCTTAGTGATGTCCAGACTTGACCTTTCTGGGAAGATTTCTGCTATTGAACAAATTGTTCTCCTTGTAATGTACGTTTTGGTTTTGCCTTCTTCAGAATTGCCACTTTAATACATTGGGGAAGGCTGGAAGAAATGATACAACAACATATTGAATTTAAACCAGAGTTGTTCCTACTGGGTATCTTTCCAGAAAAAAATTAGTAAGGAAAATGCATATTTGATTATACATGTAATAATAGCTGCAAGAATTGTGTATGCTCAAAATTGGAAATCCGAGAAAATACCTTTGGAAGAAGAAGTAATAAAAAAATTTTTAGACTGTGCAGAAATGAATAGATTAACTTTGATGATTAAAGATAAGGAGGAATCAGACTATTTTAAAACATGGAACTATTTTTATAGTTGGTTGGAAAAGAGATACAAATGATTGATACTATAATTATGTACAAATGATGATTATAATATTGAATTTAGAAATGAACTGTTAGAATGGTTTGGATGGATATGAAGAGAGAAGAAACTTATGGAAGATGGAAAAGAAGCCTAGAAGATAACACCGAGACGTCACAGGGAAGGGAGGATTGATGTATTATGCGAGACCGCCTTCTGCCGCCAATAGCCTCCACCGACCGGTTTGCTCGCACAGAGAGGGCCTCCTCAGGGTGCCGTCGGCCAGACAGTGCCGGCTGGCGACCCCCAGGGGGAGAGCCTTCTCTGTGGCAGCACCTGCCCTCTGGAATGACCTACCCCCTGAGATACGCACGATATCAGACCTCCGGACTTTTCGTCGGGCCCTGAAAACACACTTATTCTATCTAGCCGGGCTGGCTTGATCCCATCCTCTCAGTTTTAATTGAATTCGGTTTTAATTGGGTTGTTTTAAATTATTTGGGCCAAAATTATTTAATTGTTTTTTAAACTGTTTTTAAATTTTATATGCTATGTTTTATCTCGGCTGTACACCGCCCTGAGTCCCGCAGGAGAAAGGCGGTATAAAAGTAAAATAAAATAAATAAAAAATAAAATAAATAAATGTTTGTCTGTCTTAAAAAATAAAAAAAAAAACTTTATTTGGAAAAAAAAATATGTTGGGGAAAAGTAAATTTTTAGGATGGAGGTCTGGTCCTATGGAGCCTGTTTAATTGGTTTGTCTTGATCTTATTTGTTGAGGCGTTCCTGATCTAATCTCGACTATGTTCCATCCACAAAACCTTTAATAGAAGCCAAAGAACGAGAACTTGATGTGGGGAGAGAGAGAGGGAGGGAGGGAGAGAGGGAGAGAGGGAGAGAGAGTGAGAGTGAGACCTGATGCATCAAATTGAAATGAGGCCTAGTTTAGAGGCCCTATTCTACACTGAAACATCTCTTGAACCTCCCAGCTCATAGGAGATCCTTCATCCTTTTGAGGTTTCACATCTGACTCTATCAAGGTGAAGAGACGATCCAGGACTCTTTTCTTGGTGGGCTGTTTCTGTCCATGTTTGTTTGATTATCGGCAGAATATGGAAGATGGTGCCCATCCTTTAGGGCATTTTCCTTTGAATACTAGCTGAGTCTCCTAACGGATGACCTCTCCCCACTGTCACATTTCCACAGAGATTTGAGATTTCTTTTTTTTTTAGGTCCACTATTATTTTTGTTCTGTTTCAGTATTTTGATGGACGGATGGTGCGTGGAGATCCCAATTCTGGGAGTAAAGAGTAATGTCAGAGAAAAGGCAAAATAAAAGCTAAAAAATAGACGCACTTTGTGATTTTTCTACTGCAATATTTCTCAGGCATCAGAATCACAAAAGCTTCTGGGCCGTGCACAATGTCAAATGCAATTCAGTAACATAAAATAAAGTAATACAAATAAAACAATTCAACAAGAATAATCAAAGTATCTCTGATTGGACTATAACAAAACAGGTTGCAGAAATAATATGATTTTAATAGTGGGTTGAATCGCTTCATCATATAGTTGTACATTTGGGGGTTCAATTCAAGAGAAAAATCAGAGTTAATCAAAGAATGTTTTGAAGAATTCCACATTTATTTTATCTTGACTATCAAGCCAAAATAAACCTTGTGCCAGATATTTTACAGGGAGGTTGGCTGTGAATTTACAAGTCCAGGATATTCTTTGCCCTAATTTCAAATTCTGGAAGATTTATAATATTTATCTCAGGACAAATTTTAACTCTTTTTCAAAATAGATCATGGTTTGAGTGCCCTTCAGGCACGTCACAGTAAGGGTAATCATTCTGATGCTTGGATTCAAACAGCAATGTCCAGAACTGTTTTAGCAGATCATACTGCTCTAAACTTTTCATCATTCATAGTTTTATCATTTGTTTTTATTCTACGTGCCTATAGCTCCACTATAGAAATCTGCGTCTTAGGATCAGAAGTGGAGCCGATCATGTCAGATGGCGTTTAGGTCTTGCTGCAGAGTAAACTTATTTGGGTATTTTGCTTTTTAACCTCACACTTCGCTAGATGGTTATTGTTATTTTCAATTCTCTTGGGGCACAAGAGAGGCCAGGAGGATGCAGACAGTTCTCTGCTGCAGAGAGAAAGGCTTTGGTGTGGTGAAGAAGTAGATGACGCAGTTCCTCCCTTGGCTGTTGAGTTGGAGGACTGACTCAAGAGAAGTTGCATCTCTGGGGAAGGAAGACAAGAGTGACGGAACCCAAGATCGGCTTCCCAGGAATCCTGAAGAGAAGATGGAGACCATCATTCGGATGACAGGTTTGAGACCTCCTTCCTCGTCTACTTCTCATCTCAATCTGACTCTTCTCCTCCCCGAAGGGATGATTGCTTTACTCCCACGTTCTTTTCTTATTCTAGATCTTTCTCAGGAAATCTGAGTTTTCTTCTTCCTCGGTGAGGAATCATTTGAGCAATGGGGCGCTTTCCTGCGTCTCCTCCCCATTTCGTCTGCCCCCAAGTCTCATGATTCAGAGCCCCTCTCAACTAAAGGGGGTTTGGGAGGATGCAGAGCAGTCTCTCTCTTCCCTCCTTCAGAGGCACCCAGAAGAAGATCAGAAACTGCAGTTTCACTGTCAATACAAGAGATAGGAAGTTGGGGGAATGGATGAGCAAAGAAAGGGGAAATTCTGTGGGTCACAGTGAAGGATGTTGAGTATAAGGAGCCTCCCTTTTCTCCCTCCTGCTCCTCTCAAATGACTTGAGAACTGAGGACATTAGAACAGCTGATGCTTCATATAATCACAGCGGCAAGATTAGCGATAGCACAATTTTGGAAAAGTGACCGACTGCCAACGGACCAGGAACTAATACAAAAAATATATACATGCGCAGAAATGGACAAACTAACTTTAGAGTTACAGGATAAGGAGGACTCTAAATATTATGTAACATGGAATAGATGGTACCAATGGATAAACCAGAGGAAAGGAAATGGGTAGAGATGAAATTTAGAAGAAATTAATATAACAAAAAACAGCACTGTCAGAGGGATAGAATAAGGAATATCTTATTGTATGTTTGTATATATGTACATATAATACACATAATATATGTATATAGAATAATGGAAATTAGTCAATAGGTGAAGTTTATGTACTGTATATGTAAATTTGTTTCTCGATTGAGAGAAACTTGTATGTTTTTAAATGTTTTTTTTTTAATAATAAAGTTTAATTTTAAAATTTAAAAAAAAAAAAAACAGCTGAACTTTGGAGAAAAAAATGTGTCTGGACCCCTGAAGGTCTCCATATCTGCTTTTAATTACAGCCATAATAAGTTTTGGGGACTCTTATGATCCACCTCCCTCAATAGCCAGAACATGAGTGGGAGAAGTCCACTTCCTCCTCCTCCTTCAGGGCAGCATCTCATTCTGCTGCATCCATTCAAGGAAAAAGATTCAGTTGAGGATGAAAGTCTTGTCCAGCCTGGGATCATCTCTCTTTCTCTTAACTCCACCTTCCTTCTCTCTTTCAGTCCTTTCCTGGATCCTCCTGGGAGCAGGTAAGAGACCTTCCTGCAGAGTGGGCTTGTCTTCTGATTGTTGCGGCCTCTGAAGGAGGGAGAAGGTCCAATGAAAGCGAAAGCTCGAAGAGTGATTCAGAAGGAGAAAAGTCCATCTCTGTGGGTGCAGTTGCTCTGCTCTTCTTTTCCACTTGGGTTAGTGCAATGGGCGAATTCAGTCCTTGTTTCTTCTTCAGGAGGCATCTGCAGATGGCTACAATCCTCCCTGTTGAGGTGCCTCCCTTCATTTAGTTGCTCTGATGTTCTTTTCCGCTTGGGTTAGTGCAGGGGTGAAATCCAGCAGATTCTGACAGGTTCTGAAGAACCGGAAGTGGAAATTTTGAGTAGTTCAGAGAGGTGGCAAATACCACCTCTGGCTGGCCCCAGAGTGGGGTGGGAATGGAGTTTTTGCAGTGTCCTTCTCCTGCCATGCCCACCAAGCCACGCCCACCAAGCTACACCACACCCACCAAGCCACGCCCACAGAACCAGTAGTAACAAAATTTGGATTTCACCACTGGGTTAGTGCAATGGGCGAATCCAGTCCTTGTTGCTTCTGCAAGAGGCATCTTCAGATGGCCATGATCTACCCTGTTGAGGTGCCTCCCTTCATGGAGACACATCACTGAGTCTCCCTGAAGAGCCAACGCAAGATCATTTAATCTTTGATTTGCTAAACTTTGCCAAACTGAAGAATTTACAGCTGTTTTTACCAGATAACTCTGAATATCCTTCTGTCCATGTCCCTGGTGAGTCTAAGATGGACCCTTCTAAAAAAATGTCCACCTCAACTTCTTCTTCTCCCAATATAAAATGAAGAAGGGTCCGTGAAGCAGGAGAGCAGGAAGGAAGATGGTCCTAAAAGATCAGGAAGGATTGAATTCTTGGATGGACCTTCATGCAAGCTATGGTATCAAGGATAGGAGAATCTTTCATTTGCAGTGTTGGTCCCTTTTTGTCCAACTTCTATCCTTGTAAGAGGAAGCAATGGATCCTCAGAGCAGATCAAGGATCCTCAGAGCAGATTATGGATGGGAGCCTTTCTAGGAACCGGGGTGGATTTTCTGGTGTAGAGATTTAGTTCCAGGAGAAGATCAGAAGGAAGGACTCAATGGCTTCTCTTTCTTTCCTCAGGTTCACAGACAGATTCATCTCTACCAGCCCCCAGGTTGTCCTCGTCTCTTCCAAATAACGTTATTATCAAAGGAGAAGAGATTCCCTTGAATTGCTCCCTCCCCAAGGGAATTAAGTCAGGGAATCCTGAGGGATTTCATAGAGGAAGGTTCTTTTTCTACTGTAGGGATCAATCCTCCTCTCCAATTGGAGATCAAATTCTCCCTAACAATACCTTCAACGTCAGGACTGAAAATCTGAGCTCTGACCCAATAAAGATAGTATGTATATGCAAGATTATGGAAACATCTGGGAGATGGTCTTATTCTCCCGAAAGTAACCAGCTGGTCTTCTCAGTGGTTGGTAAGATGAATATTTATTACCCCAAAATATTCATAGCAAAGGCTATCACAATGCGCAAGCTATGAAAAGGCACAATAGATCTTTCAAAAATAAATCCAGTAAACTCATCGCTAAATAAATAAGACCTCCTGTAAGAAAATGGTTAGCAGGAAGTTCTTTCCATGGGAAAAATATCTCCCCAATGGGAACTTATGGTTAGGACAACATTGTGAGAACACTTACAGAAACAACAAATCCTTTTCTACTCTTGTATGCTTCATACCTACCTACTTATACATTTTGTGTACTGTACTGCATATTACAGAAATTTGCTTTTCTTCAATTGGCAGATTCAGTTGATGGGAAGATAGAGGTCATGATTCCTTGGTCCAGTCACTCTTGTGTGAAAAGGGGTAGCTTTGTGTTATTTTCACCCTAAGCTAAAGTCAGATTCGTTCTCCTTCCTTATTTTCCATTGTTAACCTCCATTATCTGAAATATCACTGCTTTGCCTCATAGAAATGGTACCTTAGATTCAAGGAGAAGCTCTGGATGATTTGAGGAAACTCCCCTGCTTCAAAGGAGACAATAACTTATGGTCTTTGTGAACCTGTCTTGCAGAGGGCCTCCCTTCCCCAGTGCTGAAGGTGGATCCGTTGTCCCGGAGGGTGAAGGAAGGTGACCCCTTGGTCTTCCTCTGCTCAACGGAAGGAGGCAACCCAGAGAAGAAGTTCCATTTCTACAAGGATGGGGTGGAGATCACCTCCAGTGAAGAAGTTCTTCTGGAACCCTCCAGTGAACCCACAAATCCTCTTCAAAGGGCCTCTCTGAGAATCCCTCATGCCTCGTTCAACCACAATGGGGAATTTGCTTGCAGTTATGAAGAGAAGAGAAGCAACCGATGGGTCACGTCTCCTTTGAGTCAGGGGACGAATGTCACAGTTGAGAGAGGTAGGAGGAGATTTGGATGTGGTTAAATCTTGTGACCATCATGAGAGGCTAAACTAGCAGAAGTGGGATTTTACCAATTCAGACTGATTCGGCAGGACCGGTTTGGTTGAACCGGTGGTAGCCACTTCCGGCCGAGAGCGAACCGGTTCTCTGTTGCTGTGAAAGTGGGCCCACCTGCCTGCACCCCGGTTTTACTGACCTTTATTTCTGCTTCTGAAGCCCAGCTAATCGGGGCGCTAGATTGAATTGGCCCTCATCAGCTGTTTTCCTTGCTCCTTTCCTTGTTTGCAATGCAGAAGTTCAATTTTATGGCAACTGCACAGGCGCGCGCAGCGAACCGGATCCCCCCCCATGTAAGCTACGGAGGGCAAAGAAAGTCCTGGAGAAAGGCAAACGGCTTTTGTGGGATTGTTAACTCGCTCCACAGAGGCGTCCATGAAAAAGCCAGAACTGAGCTTGATACAGAAGGAAAAAAAAAAGGGGGGGGGCTGTTTCATTTGTCGATTTAATAGAATCTAAACCTTCAAGAACAGGCAGAGTAAAAATGTTCTGTCAAGAAATACTAAATCTTCTGTCTTGTTTGTTGCTCAAACCAGTTGGTTACTCAAACCAAGATTCAGATCCTATTTGGAGATATTCCTGGATGGCGATTCCTTTTATAGTCCTTATAATCCTGCTGGTTTCATTTGCCTTTTATTGCTGGAAGAAGAAGAGCAGTAAGTGGAGATGTTTGGGTTCAAGGGTTCCCTCACCTGGAGTCCTAGGGGGCTCCTGATGTGGTTGGAGATGTTGACTGAGAGATTCTCTGGGAAGGCAGGAAAGGAGAGCCAGACCTGGGAGAGAAGGGCAAAGAATATGTGAGAATGGTGGAAAGAAGCCGTTTTATCTTTCTTTTTTTAATCATTATTTCTCCCTTGGAAGCATCAGCATCCCAGGAACAATTTCAGCTCATGGAAAAGAAAGAGGAAAGAAATGATCTTGCAGTGATGGAGCCTCAAGCAGGAACGGCTTCTCCTTCCTCACCTGTCAAGGTAGCTGGTGGGATTCATGGGTGACTTTAATCAGTGTCTGCAGGGAGGTTTATGTTTAAATGTCTGTTTACATTGGAGAGTGAAACCAAGTTTTATCCCCACTATTGATGGCGTCCTCTGGAGTCACCCAACTGTTGGGAAGAAACAGGAACGATGCGGATAGTAGTTAGAGCTTCTGAACTTTAACTCTTGCATTTAAACAGGACTTACCTTCCATAAAACCATTTGTCTTGAACTCTCTGAATATATGCTCTAATTTTCTTGACTTGCTTAGTTTCAACCAAAGGATTTTGGAATTTTGGAAGTACGAGATCTTTCTTTAAAAGTGGGGAAGCAGAATAATTCTCTTTATGGCCATCAGTTTCATAAATCATGTGTTGGCCAAGAAATCGAATGGCCTTGAAGCCCACACAAACAGAAAGGAATATTTCAAAAGCCAAGTATCTGAGAAGCCATGAAAGATTCCTCTAATCAAGTGTTGGGGGCAACGTTTTAGGGGATTGTCCCAGGGGTGAAATCTAAAAATTTTCGCTACCGGTTCTGAGGGCGTGGCTTAATTAGTGGGCGGGGCTTGGTGGTACGGTGCCTGGGTGGGCGTGGCCAAGTCAATGTCACTTCTTTGCTCTTTTTTAACCTACAAAACACAACACCACACAACTGGCTCACCCACAATGTAAAAGCAACTGTACTAGGCCCAAAATTATTATTTATTTTTAAAAAAAAATTTTTAATTTCTATACCGCCCTTCTCCCGAAGGACTCAGGGCGGTGAACAGCCAGAAGATAAAACACAGAGATACAAAAATTTAAAATAGATTAAAAAAAAAAAGGTTCCTGCAACAAGCAGGAGCCTCACACAGCCACAAAAAGCCCAAAAAAACCAACTTTCACACTTTACACACACAAAATTCATATACAGCTTTGTGAGATTTTGTCTGTTTGTATAGTTAGAGTGAAACACTACAGAAACACACAAAATCTCAGAAAGTTGCACAAATATTATTTTATTATTTTATTTTATTTTATTTTTTTTTTTATATAAAATTTAGTTAAATTTAAAACTTCCTAAACTTTAAATGGCTAAGTCTAAAAAAAGAACAACTAAAGAAAACCCCAATTAACTATTTTTTTTAAAGCTCCCAGGGGAAAAAAACTTACAAGGGGAAAAAAACTTACAGGCAGGCAGGCAGAAAGAGCTCCTCACCGATGAGCTTGATTGCAGGCAGGGAGATTCAGTTGCTTGCTGATGCAATCGACTGCAGGGATTATAGCAAGTGAAGCAAGGCAGGCGTGCGAAGGTAAGCAAGCTGGAGGCTGGGGGGGGGCGGGGGGCAGAGATTTTTGCTACCGGTTCTCCGAACTGCCCGCCGCCATCGCTGCCTACTCGCCCGAGCCGGTCCGAACCGGGAGCATTTCACCCCTGAATTGTCCCTGTGGGTTTCTCAGGAGCATCTCAAAACCTTCGGGAATTGGAGACAGGAAAATAATCTGGGTCAGGTCTGATGCTGAAGGTCAATCCTTCTCTTTTGATGGGCTGGCAATCTTTCTAGGCCGTAGCAGACGTGTCAAGCTTATTTATTCTAAAAATGCTGCAAATTGATGGAGGAATCCCATGTTCTCAGTGGGTTCCTTGCCTGCAGGCAGAATGAGCAATGGCTTCTCGTAAGAGGACTCTAGACAGTCACTTCTCTGAAATAGTACAGATTCTCCTGTTTGAGCAGGGGGCTGGACTAGAAGGCCTCCAAAGTCCCTTTCAGCTTATTCATTCTATTCCCTCACTTTCCCCAGGACTCTGAGGTCATTTACAGATGCATCCGGGACTCCTTCACTTCGTCTCCTCCTGGATCAACAAGGAAGAACCGTCTTACACAACGGGAAGAAGAGGGGATATTGTACAGTGACATTGTGTTCCAACCCAAAAGGAGAAAGCAAAGTCATCCCTGATTGCAGCAAAATGTGTTTCTCTTGGTCCTGTCTCTATTTAGGCCTAGACAAGGACGTCACCCTTGAAGAGACGATGAGGTGCAGCTAAGCTTCAACATATGGCAGAAGAGAAAACACATCAAGTACGGAAAAATCCTGGACGTAACATTATTCTATGACTCTGTCAGGAAACTTCGCAGCTGGGGTCCAAATGGAGTCAGAGACGCTGACAAAAACTTGTATTTTTATATAAATAAATATATTTTACAACTACAGATAGTAGTTGTCTTACATCAGTTTGTTTAGTGACCGTTTGAAGTAACAATGGCATTGAGAAAAGGGACTTATGACCGTTTCCCACACTTATGACCGTTGCGGCACTCCCATGGTCACGCAATCAAAATTTAGATGCTTGGGAACTGACTCATACTTATGACGGTCACAGTGTCCTGGAGTCATGTCATCCCCTTTTGCGATCTTTTGACAAGCAAAGTCAATGGGGAAGCCAGATTCACTTAACAACCCTGTCACTAAATTAACAACCGAAGCCATTCGCTTAACAAATATGGCAAGAAAGGTGGTAAAATGGGGCAAAATTCCCTTTACAGATGTCTCACTTAGCAACAGAAATTTTGGGCTCAATTGTGGTTGAAAGTTGAGGACTCCCTGAATATATAGAACAAAAAAGATAGTCGGGCTCAACAGGAGCATCGTGAGGTAAATCACAGAGCACACAGAAGAAAAAGGCGGGAAAAAAGGGAACCTCCCCCTCCACAGCCACAGCAACCAATCACAGCGCAGATTGCCTCATGCAGGTGCCAGCACTCCTCAACCAATCAGCTATAACGGTGTGTTCTGTTTCACTACACAACCCCACAACTTCAAATTTAATTATCTTAACAGAATCTCAGTTCTATCTCAGTATAGAGTTGACCCTCAATTCCAAAATTCTTGGAGATATATAACATACATCCTATTAACACTTTTTAATTCTTTATTTGCAAAGAGACGAGGGTTTGGGTGCCCTTCAAACATATGACGATGAATTTTTCGTGTTAAAAAATAAAAAATCACAATGAAGATAATCATTCTGATATTTTAGACCCAACTAGCAATTTTCAGAACTGATTTAGCAGAGTGTACTGCTCTTTTGCAAATCTATTCCCCCACCCCATAATTAACGCTTTATCATTTGTTTTATTCCACGTGTCTCTTTAGGATAAGAAGAGGAGTTGATCAAGTCAGACAGACAGATAAAAGTGTTTAGGCCTTGCAAAAGGCCAGGAAGAGTTGGGGTTTTTTGCTATTTCCCATCGCGGCGGATGGCTATTTTCATTTTTAATTCTATTTGGGTGCAAGAGAGGCCAGGAGGATGCAAGCAGGTCTCCGCTGCAGAGAGAAAGGCTTTGGTGTGGTGAAGAAGGCCGGGGAGTTGAGCTGCGTTGGGGGATGACGCAGTTCCTCCCTTGGTCATTGCATTGGGGGAACTGACTCAAGGGAAGTCGCAGCTGTTTGTCTCTCTGGGGAAGGAAGAAGAGAGTGACGGAGGCCGAGACCAGCTTCCCAGGAATCCTGAAGTGGAGATGGAGATCATCCCTTGGATGATAGGTTTGGGACCTCCGTCTACTTCCTCCCATCTACATCTGGCTCTTTTCCTCAATGAAGAGCGGATTGCTTTACTCCCAACTCCTTTTCTTCTAGATCCTTCTCAGAAAACCTGGGCTTTCTTCTTTCTTGGTTGGGAATTGTGCTTTTTTTCTCCCTAGATCCTTCTCAGGAAATTCTTCTTCCCTGGTTCTGTTAAGTGGAATAACAGGGGTACTTTCCTGCCTCCACCCCCCACTCCCAATCCATTGTATCTCCAGTTTCTCTTCATCCTGAAGATGGAGATCATCCCTTGGTTGATAGGTTTGGAACCTCCTTCTTCTTTCTTCTTTTTCTCCCTCTCAAATGATTGAGAATTGAGGACATCAGAACAGCTGAACGTCAGAGAGAGAACCCTCCTGGACCCCATTACTGTTCTTAATGATAATTCCGACCATGATAAGGATGGTTGGGTGGGTCTTCTCCCACCCAATGGCCAGAACATGGATGGGAGAAGACACCTTCCTCCTCCTCCTTCAGGGCAGCTTCTCATCTGATGCATCCATTCAGGGAAGAAGATTCAGTTGAGATGGTAGGGGCTTGCAGAGCCTGGGATCATCTCTCCTTCTCTTAACTCCACCTTCTCTGCTTCTCTCTTTCAGTCTTTTCAAGGATCCTCCTGGGAGCAGGTAAGAGACCCTCGTGCAGACTTTGCTTCTATTTCCAAAATAAGTAGACTGGGATTGTTGCCGTCTCTGAAGGAGGGAGAAGGTCAAATGAAACCGAAAGCCCATAGAGAGATGCTGAAGGAGAAAAACCCATCTCTGTAGCATGGAGTTGATTGGCCGTTCTGTTCCACTTGGGTTGGGGCAAAGGGTGAATCCAGCCCTCGTTGCTTCTTCAGGAGGCATCTGCAGATGGCCACGATCCTGGTGAATCTAAGAAGTTTCCTTGTGAAAAATGTCCACCTCAAGTTCTTCTTCTCCCCAACATAACGTGGAGCATGGTCTGCCAACCCTGGAGAGTATACAGGAAGTTAGTCCTGAAAGATCAGGGATGGACCTGTTCTGTCCCTGTACCCCACATGCACCCCCACAGACGGCCCGGAGTTAATAAGCCACACGACAAAACTCTTTGAAGATAAAGCTGGCAGCAACCCAGTGGCTAGCTGCCAATTCAGGCTTTACTCACACAAAACAAAGATTAGACTGCAAGCATTCCGATAAAACAGGCAGTTTCAACAATACAAGGATTAATCCAAATGCAGTCCGATAAAGCAGGCAAAGTCCAGTAATGCAGAGATCATGGAGTATTTCTAGTTTTTGCTCGTCACAAACTGAACCGGCCACCACACCCACATTTATACCCTGTGGGGTGTGGTCCAGTGACTCAGCTAATCTTTGGCACGCCTTCCCTTCTGCTGTGCACGCTTCTCCCTGCGCCTCTGGCGCGGGTCCAGCCAGCACTTATCTTCTTCGTCGCTGTCCACCTGTGGCTGTGGGGACGTGCTTGACTCTGAGCCTATCATTTGGCCTTCGGTGTCCTCCAGAGGCATTGCCAGAGAGGAGGGTCCTGGAGAGGGAGGCCTTGCCAACTCCTCTCCCTCACTCTCAGAGTCTGCATCTGTCGATAGCCCAGGCTCAGGCAACGGAGCCACAACAGGACCTTCATCCAAGCCAGCAGCTGGAAGCCCAAGACAACAAGGCCTATCAAAGATGCTACTAAGAAGGGACTGGTCAATTTGAGATCTAATTTCTTAGAGGGTTCAGAAGAGGGTGAACATTTGTTGGAAAGATGGATGTGCTCTCCCAGAAGACTAGCAGGCTGTTTCTTGAGGAGAAACAGTAGAGATTGCAGCTCTTTCTAGGAAGCTCAAAGTGTGAAGCATGGGATTTTCCAATCTGAACCCTGAGGATCTTTAATAAACCACTGCAGAGAGATGAGTTTAATTGGGAGGTTGTGTCAGTTGTAAGTTGTGACTGTTGTAAAAGAGGTCGGTCACAGGACTGAGCCACTTTTAAGACCTACTTGCAGCAGTCGTTAAGTGAAGCAACGGTGCTCTGTGGACTCAGTTTTGCTAAAAACAGGAAGTCAGTGCTGGGTTTTGACACAACTGTTGTAAAATGTGGCCATGTGACTGTGGGACACTGGAAACAACAGTGTTGTCTAGTCCCTGAAGTTTGGTTATGTCACCATGGGGGAGGGATTCACTGTTGGCATTTTGAATCTGGGTCGTAAATAACCCCAAAGTAGCTCTGAAGCTAAGCAACTGGTCATAAGTCAAGGACTACCTGTACTTCACACAATTATATATTTCATCTTTTGTGCTCAATATTACAGAGATTTGCTCTTCTTTTATTTGAAGATTTGAAGGCTAAAAACGTTGGTAATGATTGCTTGGACCCCTCTTTTATTAGTTCCTGATAATTGGGACATAGGAGAAATATTCTACCTACATTTTTCTCTGGCCCTTCTGATTCCAGCCAGTCTAGTGGTTTCCAGACTTTCAGTGGGTCAGAGATGGGAGGCCATTCTCAGTGGGTCCATCAGGAAGACTTCCGGCTTAGAGTGAGAAGGGGAACTGAGTCACAGAAAAGTCCTCACCTGGCTAGTAGATGTCCAAAGAGGGCAGAATGACACGGGTGCTCGGCTTTCTCACCTCATCCTCACACAATGGTTTCTTCCATGTTTAATACCCTTGGGTGATTAAGTGAAGGCAGGAGTCCTTAAGGGAATAGAGACCAAGGGCAAGAACCAGATCCTGGGCCGAGGCCAAGTCTATATATAGGTCCACGGTGAAGGTCAAACAGGTCTCCCTATCGTTGATGCCATTATAGGGCAAAGTCAAAGGTAGAGAACCCTTTCATTTGCTGTATTGGTCCCTTTTTCCTCCGTTTTTGGTCCTTGCGAGGAGTAGCAGTGGGTCAAGGGTTTCCAGAGCAGTTAATGGACGGGACCTTTATTGGGAACTAGCTGATAACCCGGTGTTGCCCGGGTATTTATAGATGTCGAAGCCTTTGTCTGACAGGGAGCCATTGAGAGGGGCCTTTCTTCCCCCTACTCTCATGCCCATCATCCCTGCCCTCTCCCTTCTCCCTTCCATGCGCTCCTCTTTCCTGCCCTGTCTATGATCCTGGCACTTTGCCCCAAATCCATCAGGTGCTTCCCCATTGCTCCAGTGGAAGGTGAACGTCACGGCTGCCTTTCCAGAGGAAGCTGTGAAGGAACTGACATTACAAACAATTGCCGCTCTAGGACGCCGCACTCACTCTCCTTAACGGCCCAGGCGTTCCACAGTTATGCTGAAACACAGACACACAGACACACACACACACACACCAGGGGTGTCTTACCCCCACAATATTTGTTTCCAGATAGTAAGTCATCTGTGTACCAAGTTTGGATGAAATTGCCCGAGGTGTTCCAGAGTTATGCTGGAACATACATACGTACATAGAGCCTTTTTTATATAGATAGATGGGGGGAGGATGTTTTCATGTAGAGGTTCCAGAAGATCAGAAGAACTCAATTGCTTCTTTTTCTTTCCTCATGTTCATGGACAGATTCAAGGTTGCCAGGGCCTGGGTTATCTTCATCTCTTCCACACACCGTTGTTGTTAAAGGAGAAGAGATCCCCTTGAAATGCTCCCCACCAGGAGGATATTTGGCCAAATCTTTCATTTTCTACTGCAAGGATCAATCCGATTCAACAATCACATATGAACCTCTGCGTATAAA